TATAGCTGGCAATGGGTGGTTGGTTGGTAAATCGCGTGTTTGATTAATCGGTTCTCCTTTTCTAATCTTTTCTCCAAAGACAAAGCAGAAATTGATGTTTCGAAATCTACGAAAGCATTAGATTCATGGAACGGCAAACAGATACGTTTGCGCTGTTCATTCATTGGTAATCCTGTTGCTCGTGTCACGTGGTATAAACCATCAGGTTCAAAAATATCTAAACAAGATGATAGAACAAATAGCAATGAAGGAGGTACATTTTCAAGTGAGTTGAACATAACAACCAACGCTCCAGAAGATTATGGAAAATACAGATGTTTTGTTACTAATGTAGTTGGTAGCGAAGAACATTACATAATGGTCAAGCAGCTATGTAAGTAAAACTTAGTGCTCTAATGAATTTATGCCCAAGGACTCTAATTTGAAGTTTGAGGCGTATATTTATAGCATATTACTTTAGACGCATTCATATCTTCAGTAAAGGTGGAACAGTTTATTAAGATAGATGCAATAAAACTAACATGTGCATGTTGTGTTCTTTTTTTTAATATCAGTACTAATCGTTCGCTGAAGGTTAAATTTACTTTATATTATTATCATCACTAGTTACTCCATTTGAGCCAGCGCAGCCACACTCCATTAGTGATTCCAAAGGCACACAAATCACCATATTCTGGTGTGTTCCTGATGTTAAAGGTGGAACCCCTGTCATTGACTACAAAGTGGAGATCAATACTGRCCCACCGAGGGAGTTTATCAGTAAAAATACATTTGCTGAAGTAAAAGACCTGCAGGAGAATACACAATATACCGTAAAAATATATGCAAGGAATAGAGCTGGTTATGGAGATCCAGTTAATAGTGTAATCGTGACACAAAATCCTGAAAACCGTAAGTAAACCTTCATGCTCCTTGAAATTATCTTGTCTGTGACTTGTAGCAAAGAGAGGATTAGCTAAGATACTATGCCAACCACATCACACATAAATCCAATTATACTAAACCACGTATACATACCTTACCACACACTAACCTACATATATAATACCAATCCGCTCCGCAACGCAACGCAACGCACCGAGCCGCACCACACCGCATCGCACCGCACCGCACCGCAGCGCACCGCACCGCAGCGCACCGCACCGCACCGCACCCTGCCATACCGTACCATGCTATAATACACCTTAACGTACCACACACATCACACCGTATCATAATTGAATGGTATCATGACGCAAGTGTTGAAAAAAACTATATATGTATTTATCCCTTTTGTCTGCCATTATTTTAGATACTACGTTTATCGTCGCGTCGTTGGTGACGATTTTGGTGATATCCTTGGTGGCTAACGCACTGTTTATAATCACCTTAATCAAAACGCAAAGTAAGTTGAATAATATGTGTATTATTTCATTGGGCTCTGATGCTGTGTCCAGTCATTGTTGTTTTGTGATCAGTCCCAATAGCATAGAATAAAGAAATGAAGAGAACGAATTAAGAAGGAATGGGCCAAAAATAAACCAATCATATGGTTAAAATATATATAAGAAAYATGAATATTATAAAAGGATAGAAAGAAAAAAAAGAAGATAGGGATCGAGGGAGGAAGGGAAAGAAAAACAAACCAACAAATGAATGGATCAAAGTTTGCAAAGAAATTAAACGGAAGCCAAGAGGAAGAGAAGATAGGGGAAAATGTTCCGCATGCTACATGAAAATCTTACACAATAAAGGTCATAAAAGTCAAGATGAAATATTAAATTGACTATTCCTTTGCAGGAGCAGAAARCAAATGCAAGTACGTATATCACAATTTAATTTATATTCTACAAGTAAATTTAGGTATTGATATCGACAAAATTATTCCGTCGGTTTGTTTTTTTACTTGTTCTTATAAAATGACTTTTCCTATATGTGTTTTTCTCCAATTTGCGTATCAATATGTTTGTTCGTTTTGCCAACTGTTTGGTKTTTGTTACACATTTAATCGTGCATGGTGAACGGGTGAGGTAATTGGCTGTTTGGATGGATTAGTAGGTTGGATGAGTGGTCGATTGATTTATATTAATTATGCTACATTTACGTTAATTCTTCATTGCAGACTTACTAGGCGCTCCAGGAATACATCATACGAGAATAAGGTATTATTTTTAACTATATATCGCCTAATATTTCTAATAACATAACGCGACTGGATGTCAAACTTTGAGGATTGGATTAAAGATTGCAAATTAATATAGCAGAAATGATTAATCAGCTTTGCTTATATTACCCTTTTGTCCTCAGACWAATGTAGAATTGGAAAGCATCCCAGACAAAGAGACGTTCTGTTCAAATGATGCCAACGTCAGCCCCGGCATACAAMGCGATGCATCTTGTGAAGCCGTGGTAGACAATGCTTCTCATTACCAATCCCTCAGTTCTGCAACTCGACGTACCGTTGATGAGGCGCGGCCTCCACAGCTTTATGAGCCATTAATTGCAGATTCTAAGAAACCTCGGCAAAGCGAATATGCGTCAGTTCAGATTAATAGCCGTTCGAATCCCAAGGGTGTGGTAGAAGAAGAAAACCCTAAAGAACAAACCACCGTTGCATAAAAAACGACTGCTCAAATTAATAGTAGATAATGAAGTAAAATTGTGCAAAAGCATTGTTATTTTAATGAAAATGGTCAGCAAACATTAGCTACATGTTTTTGACTAACTTGAAAGGTAAATGAACTGACTATAAAAATGAAATATTATTTTTCTCGGCAAAAATTATTGTTGTCGAGTCAGTTCTATTTTAAATACTAATTGTATATTAGAGCCGAGTAATGCATGGAAAACTAATTAAATGATTGAAAATGACGGGCAATTTTTGCTGCCAATTACCGTAGATAGGTAATAAGATTTATGGGATGTGTTTATCTGTTATAAATCAATTATTAAACCTGATTTTACCTGTGCATCACAGCACCCATCGTTAAAAAAAAAAAAAAAAAGTGAGCAGGATTTTTTTATCAGGTTTAAAGTGCGAGGGCGTAGGGCGTGGTTCTCTTTCTTAGCATCTCTCTGAGTGCATCCTTAGGCTATTTGCACACCATACCGGATAGCAATCGTTTCGGCTCAAAACGTATACCGGATATTAGCCCTTCTGTTCACACACATGGAGCGCTTGTTTTTGGAGTGATTTTTGTATTGGATAGATGTTGCTCCGCTCCGGTTTCAAAAGATATACACTTTGTG